GTTACTTGGCAAACTTTGTAGGAATGCTTTGACTTTTTGGCCGCAACCTGGTATATGTCCAAATCTGGAATAAGAATGCTTTGGTGCTTGACTTGGAGATGTTGGTATATGCTACTGCAGGACTAATTTTAATGAGCGGTCATGACCAGCTATCACCCTGATTTGCTACTGCAACAGCCTACACATTTTGCTGCTAAATGGCAGGCAGCAGTACAGGGGGCAGTACTGCTGACAGATCGGGGGTTTATGCAGCTTAAACTGGAAGGGTGTCTCTAGTATGACATGTCTAAAGCTTGTTGACTGTCTGAACTCTTCCATGCGCCAGCTGATCTGTCAGAATAAACTTTTAATCTAAACTGTCACTGGTATGAGGTTCTCCTAAAAGGTAACAAGGTTTTGAGACTTAAGCAGACACTTGGCTTTTAACGTGCTGGCTTGTATTCTTGTAAACTGCACCTCAGTAAGTAAATCATCCAATGTAACTTGTGTTGACAGGATGTTGGTGAGGTGACGATATACCTGGCTGAAGTGCAGAGTATTGTTCACGCTCTCAATCTAAAGTATGGTGTCATTACAAGAACTGATCCACTCAGGTTAGTGGCTTGTGCTAGATTTTAATATGCAAACAAATCTAACAGACTGAGGGGCAGGGGCACATGGTGAGCAGTATGCTGTGTCCTAGACTGGCACGTGGTATTAATGGCTTATTTGATCTCTTGTAGATTCCTGATTGAGTGCCGCTATAACAAATGGGGCACTGCTCAGTCAATGGCTAGTGTTGGCTACATGGTGAAGACCCCACCTTCCAGTATGCCTTCTTCAGTCATCTCTAACAGTTTATATGGTGTCGAGTTGAGAATTGCCAAAGGTTGGGCATTGCATTGTCTTTCCAACAAACTACAGTAAACAGGCTTGACAAACTCTGCTGGTGTGAAGACTGGCTAAATGCCTTCTGTTTCATCCCAACAGATGAGACTTATTCAAGTTTCTATGACCATCACCATCAGCCCTTGCGGCTGCTCCTCGGCCGCCCTGTGTATCTTGAATTGCGCCTCAGCTCTCCTAACGCAGATGCAATAATTCTTGTGAATTACTGCCTTGCATATCCTCGTTCTGCAAGAAATGCTCTGGTGCTAATCTATGAAGGGTAAGCTCAACCATCAACCTTTTAGAGCTTGAAGGTTATCTTTAACTTCTGACTGCAAGTTATGCTTGTCTGCAGGTGTGCCAATCCTCATGATCCACATGTGTCCATACTTAAAGTCAGCAATGTTCCTGGAGTGAATCATGAAAAACGCTTTATAGTGAGTGCCTTCCAGTTCATGGATCAAAGGACAAACAAGTACCTAAATGAAGAGGTGAGTTGGAGAAGTTAATGCTGGAACAGTTCCTAATTTACATGTGTTTAAAAACAAAAAACTAAGGTTGTCTGGGTTCAAGCAGAAAACTGTTTTTAAAGTCAATGTTTGCCTTGGATATTGAAAGATTAACTTTGTGTTACTCACATGGTGTTCATTCCCTGCCAGATTTATTTCATGTGCTCTGCAGAAGTTTGTCTGCCAGCAGAAAAGAGATGTGATGAGCGGTGCTTTGATGGGAGGGTGAGTCTCTAAATCTTGGTGATAATTTGCAACTTGTTTAATGGTCTAATTAGATTCATTTTCTTCCAGGTTCAATAAGGATTTGATCTGGAAACTAACATTGTGATTTAACTA